GTGAAGCCAGTGAGCCTCACCTCTGTGCCTGGATCATGGAGCAGATCCTCCTAGAAACTATGTTAAGGCACATATGAGACAAAGAGGTGATTCGAGACAGCCAGCATGGCTTCACCAAGGGCAAATTGTGCCTGACCAATCTGGTAGCCTTCTATGATGGAGTGATGGCTTCGGTAGATGGGGGAAGGATGATGGAGGGGGTATGACTGTTTACGAGGGTGGACAATGATAGGACAAGGGGAAATGGTGGACAATCTCTGACAGAGTGCTTATTATATGTAACTATGTTTTCAACTTTGGATATGGACACTTCGTACCTTCAATAAGCAACCACAACACTTTCTTTACATGCCTATGGGGCAAACCATTTTTATTTTAATAACCTGAATATAAATGCTGGTTGAAGGCAGTTTGTTTAAGAAGAAATATTGGCCTAAGATGGCAAGGCTAACATACTGCTTCTTCAATACACGTACACAACTTACAAACAATCTGTTCAAAACTCTGGACAGAATTTGCTTGTTCTTGTGTTTTCTTCCCAAGATCTAGCTGCTAGAACTGTATGAAAAGATTAGAAGCAAAGTTCAAAAAGTTCTTGTCCTGTATTTATTTGTGAAGGAAATTCGGTGAACTGTGAACTGCTTATACCCAGTGTAGTGATGACTGTACAAAAACGTAACATTATTTCACAAGGCAGAATCACAGCCAGAGCAGGGCAGAAAGATTACCAATCCCATCTCCACCAACACACCAGATAAACATTCCGCTTTAAAATTAATTTGTAAGTGGTAGAATAGGGGTAGGAGGTTGGACAGTTCCTGTCTTTATTTTTGTGTTCATAAAAACTGCTTCCTTTGCAAAAATTGCACGCCTTCTGGACTTGCATTTTTCCTCTGAATTTGTAACCTAGGTTTGTTGTCAGGAAAACTATAGTATTTGTGTCTCCAAAATAAAATTTCACACACAGCATGCCATAAATACATAAATGAGGTTTCCTTAGCAGTTTAATCTCATGTCCAGTAATGACATTGCAAATCAGTGCATTGTGAACAAATCTCTGACACAACCAGAGAACCTCATGTTTGAAATGCTGCCTCGGTTCTCTGATGGCTGAAAGGGGCATTCATGTACTCGTCACACACAGTGTGCATCCTGAAGACTTCAGGTGCATATGATTATATTTACATATTGCTATATTATCTTTTTTTCTTCTTCTTATGCTTCTTTTTCTTCATTTCCAGGGAAGATTAAGGTGCATATTATGAAACATTTCTTCTCAGAAAGAGTAGTGATGCATTGGATTGGGCTACCCAGGGAGGTGGAGGAAATCCCTGAAGGTATTTAAGTAACATGTAGATGTGGTACTGAGGAACATAGTTAGTGGGCATGGTGGGGGTGGATTGATGGTTGGAATTGGTGATCTTAGAGGTCGTTTCCAACCTTAATGATCCTGTGATTCTATGGAGTTTCTGGAGAACAAGGCCAGTCAGTTTTAAAGTACTTGGTTGTCAGTATGGTGTGACCCAACTCACTTTGAGACAGGATTTTAAGGGAAGTCAGTGCCTTTCACATGAAATCACAGAATGGTTTGGGTTGGAAGGGACCTTTAAAGATGATCTAATTCTACCTAGGTAGCCCAGTACATAAAAAGATCTGCTGCTGCTATGCCATTAACAAAGAAAGTCCCATAAGAAGCATACCTAGAACACCTGAGATATGACTCTGATAAAAAAAAAAATCCACTAAAACTGTTCAAAAAAACCCACATATGTACCCTATGGATTACAGAATATGTTAGATATGTGACTGAACAAATATACAGTACAGAACACAGTTGCCTTGTAGCACACTGATTGGCCATTCTGTGAGCGTATGGGGTTTTCACAAGCAGTGGCCGTTCCTTTTCTCAGGAGATGTGTCAGAAAATGCCATGAGAAGAGAGAAGGAAATGTCACCTAGCAACCAAAGCTCTATGAAGAAAAGTTCCATGGTCAGGAGAGAGAAGGTGAGCTGTGGCTAGGTGCGGGCACGATCAGCAGCGAAATGCTGTGTGCCCACTGCCAGCCCCAGCCTGGTCAGGATCTGCGTACCCTGGGTCTGAGGGGATTCTGGTTTTCAAAGCAGGGCTCAGGATTACTTTTTTTTTTTCACTCTTCCCAAGATTAGTTTGAAAATGATGCAATCTCAAACCACAGTGGGGATCTGTATTTAATTTTAAAACAGCAAGAAGTTAACTGATGGGAAAGGACATTACCTGTCTTTTGTCTCTCGTATTTCTATTTTTTATCCTTCCATTTGAAAAGGCCAGACCAACAGATGTTTTTCCACTATCTGATTGAACAAAGGGCTTTTCTTATATATTATTTTTATCTATATATGGTGTAGCCCTTTGATGAATTAAGAAATTTAAACTGGAGATCATTTGCCTCTGGGTTAGGGAAGGAAGAGGGGGAACAGCAGGAGTCAGACTTGTTTGCAGGGGGAAAACAAGACATGTTGAGAAACACGGCTATACACATAGGACGCTGTGCTGTAGGTAGGGAATTCAGCGCTCAGAAGCAGGCGTGTGGCTGAGGACGGGAGGACAGGACCCGACGTCGGCCTCCACATGGCCCGTGTGCAGGGGTGCGGCGGTGAGTGCGCGGCACGGCGGGGCCGTAAGCGGCTGGTGCGGTACATGCGATCTACACACGGCTGCTGCTGCTGCTGGATCTCACCAGCATACCGACAGAAGCTGCCTTCGCGCCGACGCTCCTCGCTGGGATCGCTGTACCCAGCGATACAGTACGCTACATCCGCATGCATCTCATGAGTTGCAGATTTCATAACCTGCCCGGAGTGCCACTGCAGCACGGCAATTTCATCTCCTTACCCGCCTTCCAGCTTTGCGCCGGGAAGCCGCATCGCTCGCCTCCCGCCGGCCCGCGTCCCAGCGCCGCCGCCCACCGCCCAGCCCCGGCCCCACGCCCACCACCGGCAGCCGCCGAGCCCCCGCCCTCGGCCCCGCGCCCCGCCCCGGGCCCGCCCCCCAGGCTGGGGGTGCCGCTGGGAAGCCGTTGCAGCCGCTGCTCCAGCAGCCCCGCCGCTCGCAGCCTGCAGCCGGCGCGGAGCGGAGCGGAGCGGGGGACCGCCAGGTAGCCGTCCCGGCCCGCTGAAAGTCACCATGCCCTCCACCTCTGCCTCGGGCTCGGCCGGCCGCCCCGCGCCCGACTACTGGATCGACGGCTCTAACAGGGACACCCTGACCCACTACTTCGATCTGGAGTCCGAGCTGGGACGGTGAGGGGGGAGGCCCGGAGGGCGGCGGGTCCGGGGAGGGACCCCGCGTCGCTGGCTCGGGAACGCCGAAACTTTGGCGTACGCGGAGCCGCGGGGAGGTGTGGCTGCGGGCGAAGGAACGCCGCCGGGGGTCGGGCTCCGAGAACGGGGGTGGGCGCGGGGAGGTGGCAGCCCTGGGCTGAGCCGCGGTGCGCGTTCGTCTTAGTTAGGTGCCGTGTAGCGGCGGGCTGCGGTGCCCTGTTGCGTCCCCTCCGTGGGAGGGAAGGCGCCCCGAGGTGCTGCCTGCTGCCCCTCCCTCTCTCCGTGCCAGACCTGCAGTCCCCGTCCCACCCCTCGGAGCCCCTCAGCCTGGGTGTCAGCTCACAGCCCAGCCATCGGCTGCGAGCAGGCCGCTGTCATCCGCGGACTGCAGTGAGTCCTGCCCTGGCGCTCCTGCGTGGCGGCTTAAGGGTCCCAAGCCCTCAGTTTGTCTGTTTCCTTCTTTCTTTTTTTCTTTTTCTTTCTTTTTTTTTTTTTTCATTTTCTGTCAAATCTGAGCCCCATGTGAGATTCAGGTTCTCCCCCTCAAAATACAGATGTTGGTTTATGTTGAATTTACAGGTAGAAAATAACGCTTTTTAAAAAGTAGTGGAGATGGAAAGCATTAAAGCATTAGAAAGAATCTTGCACCAGATGACTTGAGTCAGCAAATCAGTGAATAATAGCAATCATGAATTCTAACAACAATCATTATTAAAATCCCAGATGGCAGTGGGAAATTTGCAGGTGATACTATGATTCCTTGGCACATTTCTTTTCTGAGAGGTCAATGAAAAGTATTTCTGTGAACACACCTGTATTTGCCTACTGTAGCTAAAAGGGGCAGGAGAAGCTGTAGGAACACAATAAAACATTTTTCTTAGCTTGCTGGCTAGGTCTCAAGCATTTGCTGCTACGTTTTTGCCACTATTGTGACTCAGATTTAAACAGGATCTTATACCCTTTCACAAGTTTATACTTTATCACACATCTGTGCAGGAACATGAAAATGGAGGAGGAAGTAGTCAGGTCGGTTTTGTTTCCAGAACTGACACAGTAGTGCGCATTGCTGAGCAACAGCAGTTGATAACAACTCTATCACCTGAATAAGTGCTGCTCTGTGTGGTTTGCCCGGAGTCCTTTCAGCATATCTGCTAAAGATTGTGAGCTTAGTTTTTGGAGAATCCATAGTGGTGATATGACGTGCGTTCATCTCCTCGCCTGCGAAGGGGATTAAAAATGTTGACTTCTGAGGACGTCAAGTCCTTAAACGCTGCAGTATAGTGGGGTTTTCTACCTTGCAAGGTATCGCAGAAGGAGACCAAAGCAGTGCGCACTCCTCTCAAAAGGCAGAAAGATATTTATTGATATAAACAAGATGGTAATTTGAGCAATGATAACAGCAACTTAACAAAATTCAAAATGACTAAATATCCTTTATTATTTGCTACATAGAGGGTAGGGGGTGCATAATGAATATAAAATCAAATCTTAGCAATGCTAGTGTAACTTAAAAACAGTAAATTATTTACCAAGGATCTGTTAGCGAGGGATAACCATGTTCTGAGTGAATCTCTGCACCTTGAGAAGTGTCCCTGATCAAGGGGAGATTCTGGTGTGCAGAACACTCTCCAGGGGGTTCTTTGCCTGCTTATGGGGTAAGATGACTGACTTGTAGTCGTACAACTTAGAATTGGTTCTGTTGAAATAGGTTTCTGTTATTAGGTGTCTGAGCACCAGTGGTGAAACTTTGATTGTTATTAGTCCCAAGGATAAGGTCCTTCGCAATTCACTGTATGCACTAGGCCTTTGGACATAATAACCAGGCAGAGTGGGGGGCAAGGAGAGCAGCATCATATAAGGTGGGGCATAGATGCTGAAACCGTAACAGGAGGTTTGAGTGAGAAACAACCACACCCAACTAGGTGAGATATGAGCCACTAAATCTGCTGGATAGAGGTAGGCAATGAGATTTGAAATAAAAGCAGAATGCAAACGGGAGAATATAACCATCTGAAACAACCTGAAAGATCATGGGGTACTGGTGGGACAGAGAATTCCAAGGTGTACGTGTTCCAAGGGGGAATTGCACCAGTGGTTTAGCAGGAAGATCTTGGTCCTCAGGTCCCAGGGTGAACCTAGAAACCTGTGCGTTGTGTGCTAGCATCCAGAGTGCTGCTGCAAATCTCAGACCTCTTCCAGTAGCTCGGGTGTGTCAGTTGCTGTTGGTAATCTTACATTTGGCCTTTTAATTTGGAAGTGAGTTTGAGTACACCTACAAAGCATACTCAGGTTAGTGGTGGTGATGGTGTATCTAGATGAGGATGAAAAATGTGGTTAAATCATCTTGTTAGATGCAGTAAGACAAAGTAATATATTAAAATTAGTATCAGGAGGTACTGTCCTAAAACATCTTCAAGATGCAAGGATTGGCATATGTCTTTTGTCAGACTGCAAAGGTCTCTAATTGGACAGCTGTTGCCAAATATGGGAATCCCCTTGGAAGGAGACCTTTCCGCAAAATGTGTCTGCCAAATCTCTTAGCCATTGTAATCAGTAGATCTTGCTCCCTCGCCAACCCTGAAGAGATGGATTTGGGGGTGCTGGTTGATGAAAGATTCAGTGTAAACCTGCAATGTGTGCTTGCAGCTGAGAAGGCCAATCATATCCTGGCTGCATTAAGAGAAGTGTGATTAAGAAGCTGGTTGAGGGAGGTGATTTTGCCCCTCTACTCTGCTGTCCTGAGGCCCCACCTGGAGTGTTGCATCTGGGGCCCTGAACACAAGAAGGACATCAAGCTGTTGGAGCGGGTCCAGAGGAGGGCTACGAAGATGATCAGAGGGCTGAAGCATCTGCCTTATGAGGATGGGCTGAGAGAGTTGGGGCTCTTCAGCCTGGAGAAGAGAAAGCTCCGGAGGAGACTTTGTAGAGGCTTTCCAGTACCTGAAGGGGTCTACAGAAAGCTGGGGAGGAGCTTTTCAGAAGAGCAGGTAGTGACAGAACAAAGGGAAATGGCTTTAAACTGGAAGAGAGTCGATTTAGACTAGATATTAGGAAGCAATTCTTTACTATGACGGTGGTGAGACACTGAAACAGGTTGCCTGGTGAGGTTGTGAATGTCTCCTCCCTGGAAGCATTCAAGGTCAGGCTGGATGGGGCTTTGAGCAACCTGCTGTAGAGGAAGGTGTCTCTGCCTATAGTAGGAAGTTGGAACTTGATGATATTAAAGGTCTCTTCCACCCCAAACCATTCTATGATTCATGTATGGCGAATGAAGGAGTGATGGGAAGAGATTGGGAATCTCAGCTGTAGATTCACAGGGGTCTATAGTTCTTCATAGACTCATAAGTAAAGGAGATAAAGAGCGGTATTTGCTGATCATAAGTTATGAAGGGTTTTTAAAGACAACACTGCTTGTGGGGAAGTGCCTGTGGGGAAGGAAGACATTACTGGACTAATAGGATGTTTAAATGACAAATGAAATTTAGTTTAGATGAGTAAAAGCAGATGGAGAGAAACCACTAAGTTGGACGTAGAACAGTGTCTAGTTAGGTGATGGATCTCGTATCCACTGGATACTGTGGATGCTGTAAATTTACAAGAGGCAGCATGGCAGGTTTACTTTAGAGAAACCCATTGAAACTAATTAAATATAAAATTGCTAATTATTGAACTATAAGTCCTTCAGTGTTAAAACCATATTCTTTGACAGTATTAATATAGGTTTGCTCTACCCGTGTTCGTCTTGAGGCATCTATGTTTGGCCACTGTTAGAGACAGTGTTCTGAATGAGACTAATATTTTGAACCAGGACACCTATTTTTACGTGCTTCTTTGCTTGGCTGCTTTACCTGTCCGTTAGTCCATTTCTGAACTGCTGTAAAGATGAAATTTTGGTCTTTGTTTCACAGAATGTATGTCTTAGTTCGCTGAAGGTGGATATATTGGTGACTTGTGGATTTTTTTCAGAGTGTACGTCAGCTGAAAGATTATTTTTCACACTCTTGGAAAAATATTTTAATAATTTTGGGTTCTAAGCTTGTACATTCCATAAAGACTAAAACATTTTGTTAGCCATTTATAACTCATTCAGTATCATTTGATACAGTGTTTCTGAAATTAGGATTGGTATAACAGTACTATATGAGGGAAGAAGTAGTTCAGTAACAAATATTTTAATACTCAGAAATATTTCAAAAATTTCTCTGTTGAAATTGTAATTAATATTTTACTTAGTATGCACTTTCTTGCCTAATTGTGTCAAACTTCATTATTGTTTGATTTGAAACTGCCAAATGTTATTACTGCAGGTGTATTGCAGATATATTAAATGGTCAAGAGAGGTTGGAAGTATTTTCTACAAAATGCTTAGCACTTTTAGTTTTGCAAACAAACACAAAAGAAAATTAAAAAAAAAAAAAACAGAAATGTTATGAGAATTTTTCTTTATGTAAGAAGGATGCGTAGAGTTATCCAAAACCACCTTCAGTTTTCTGATCCTTGCTGAACACCTAAAGATTCTCTGTATTTGTAGTGTGCCTTGAATTGATAGTGGTAGCTGAGTCATGGGTGCCTTGAGGAGTTCTGAGAGAATTTAAGTCCAAAGAGTGGATTATACGCTATGAAGACTGCTGTGGGAGTTATGCCTTCTATTTTACTGGGTAAAGAACTGGCTAGAGGGCTGTGCCCAATGGGTAGTAGTCCAGCTGGCGACCCGTTACAAGTGGTGTCCCCCAGGCCTCAGTACTGGGGCCCGTCTTGTTTAATGATGACCTAGATAAAGGGATTGAGTGTATCCTCAGTAACTTTGCAGGTGACACCAAGTTGGGAGGTGGTGTTGGTCTGCCTGAGGGTAGGGAGGCTCTTCAGAGGGATCTAGATAAGCTGGATCGTGGGGCTGAGGTGAATGGGATGATGTTCAACAAGGCCAAGTGTTGGGTCCTGCACTTTGGCCACAGTAACCCCTTGCAGCGCTACAGGCT